GGGGGTGGTGAACTACGTGAACTGTGCAAATCAAACAGCCACTCACAAAATGTAAACAAGACACACAGTCATAAAAAATCTGGGGAAAATGATACCCATTTTGGTTAGGGCACCAGATCAAAATTGGTATATGAAGCAGGTTTAATGTTTTTGTGTTATTTTCTCTCATGGCCCTTAAAATTGCTTAAAACCCTTTGCCTCCCATGAGTGACCAAGACAGAATTTCTCCTTACATTATCATCATGATATCAAGCAGACAAAATATGAGAATAAAGAGAAATATCAAATAGGGGATTATTAGTTGACCCAATACCAAATTCTCTAAACTAACATCATAAGAATTGTATAGCAGACAGTAGGGAAAATTACTAATTAGATCTCAGGAGTGAAAGGGTTTAACTCAACTTTGACACAACAATCAGTTGGCACCATTCACTCTCACCGATGAAAAAAAAAGTATCTATATTAATTTTGCAAAATGTGTTAGCAGGGGTGCAAATGTTGTAGGTGTTCTGATTTTCATGCCAATGAATTTACTGAATGGTTCACAGTTGAAAAAATCCATTTGGTTGTAGAGATATGATGACTACGGACTTATCAAGTAAAGGAGCCTGGCCCACAGCTACTCATTATTTGGTTAAATGCCCACCCTGTGAATACCAAAATGTTTCAGTAGCCTTGATGTTTTTGGATAATGTAGTACTAGATTACACTTCATACACGTAGTAATACCAACCAATTTCATGTTTTCGTGATACTGGTCCAGGTTTTCCACCACCAGCTGAGAGGCCTGCCCTAATCCAGCAATCATGCCCGTGTTTTCTGTTCCTGGTCTAAAATTCCTTTCTTGTCCTCCACCGAAAAACATGGGGTGTATAGGGGTGTCTCTCACTGGATTTCTAACATAAAGGGCTCCTGATTGGAAAAAATAACAAGTTTTTAATTTTGCTATGCAGAGCTATTTTTTGAAATAGGGCGACTGACTACTGGCTGTCACCTAAGAGTCAGGCAACTGTTGCCAACAGGTTTTTTCAGGAAGGTTTTTTTTTCCCAATTAACTACAATAAGATATTATTTCACATGAAATTTAATATTTCATTTAAGTAACGTTTTACAAAAGTCACTAGATGGAGGATAGAGAATATCAACTGAACTTTTCAGGTAGAAAAATAGGGAAATTTTCTGTCAATATAGCACTGTGTAGTACCCTTGGCAGCCATCGTTTAGTCACATGCTCTCTCACCAGTAAGGGAGAGAGATACTGTAATAAACCAAACAATGCCTGTGGAGGCGTTTTAGTCAATTTAACTAGTCATGCCCTGTTTTTAAGAGCACAGTATGTAGTACATAACCTCAACAATTTTAAATTTCTTTACAAAAAAACTAATATACTAACTGGTATATAGCTGTTTTGAGAAAGGCTGTTGGAGAAAAAAGCATAAACAATTGCATGTAACAACCCTGAAAGGTATTGTGGGTAGTCTTTTGGGTTGCAGTTCCTTGACCTCATGATTTCAAGGAAATCTGAGAACTCTTCACTATGAGGACAAAGTGTTGCAGATTTAAGAAATTTATTTCCATAATTACCAGATACCCAGATTACCTTTTGAGATTGTCACATGCACATTTTTCAGATGATCTTGCTCAAAACAGCTGAAAAGCCCTATGTGACTCTGATAGACTGTAAGGTTCTCCCTTAAAAGTTTGTCATATCCCCCCCTTGTGGAATAAAAGGAGAATTTGATGGTACTGTAGCAAAAGTCACTTAAGGGCTTTAATCTATTCATCCCATTACTTCTAATTTTGTACCAATTCGAGGTCCATAGAACTTGTGTCCCACTACCGTGAGGAACTCCACTCCCAGGTCATTCACATCCACTTTAATTTTACCAATGGCTTGTGCTGCATCAGTATGGACAAGAACCCTAGGCATTTCCTGAGATAGACGACTCTTCATTAACCCCTTTATAGCCTTGGAAATGTTTTCAATTGGCTGAAAAATAAAAGATGTCATTCCTAAATCAGATACATTTGTGCGAATTACTTTGACCCCTGGTAGTTCCTGCTCAAAGGAACCTTAACCATTTAACTAACATGAGTATCAGACAGAATTTCTCCTTACAATATCAATACAATATATAGCAGACAAGTGGTGAGAATAAAGAAAAAAATAGGAATAATTGTTAAATAATTTTCACCTTGGCCCTTAAGAGCCCCATTAATTAAAGGAGTGGTCAATTAAGTATTCAGTTGTTTGTTTGTTTTCCATTTTTCATGGCCATATAAACCTGTAGGCTGCGGTGGAAAAATATTTTTGTTGGTTATTGTTGGTCTTCTGGCCTCAAGGCTTCTTTTATTGACTTCTTGAATCAGGATCTTCCAATGACTTAAAGATCCTAAATAAAATTGATAATGTTACCTGAATTACCCCTGTTTCATTATTTGCCATCATGACAGTCACCAAACAGGTGCTTGGTCTAACTTCGTTCAATATTGCCTCTGCTGTCACTACACCAGAGTCTTGAGAGGCTGGGACAAATGTCACTTCTATCTTGCCTTGCTTTACAAGATTCTGGAGAGGGAGCTGGATAGAATCATGTTCAAGATTTGATGTAATCACATGGGGTTTCAAATCAGAAATATGGTTTCCCCTTTCTTTATGAAACTCATAGAAGTATTCCAGTGTTGAATGGATCACCATGTTGTTGGCCTCAGTACCTCCTGATGTGAAAATGACGTCACTTTCCAATGCACCAATCATGTTAGCCACTGAGAGACGGGCTTCTTTGATCACGTGACTTGCTTTCTTTCCTGCTGCATAAGAGCTACTGGGATTTCCCCAAGCATCTCGTAAAGCATTATGGATTGCTGTCAGGACAGATGGTTCCAGTGGAGTTGTGGCATTGTAGTCCAAATATATTTTAGACGAGCTTTCCTCGACTCCATTTTCCTCATTCACGTCCATTTCAATAATCTTGATCCTGATAACAGTCGAAATACCTTTGCTTTTCTTTCGACGGTGAATTGATATATAAAACAAGCGTTTAATGTACACTGAATGGTTACTGAACGGAATGGACTAGAATTCTTAAAACTGACTGAACGAAGAAATCATGAAATTTTTAAAATCGAATTCATCCGAAACTAGTCCACAGGCTCCGGTGAGAGCAGAAGTCACGTCATGAGCCATCATCTACTTACCCTACTCTAGTAAGGAGATGTTCAGTTATGGCGGATGGAGACGAAGGAGTACTTGTTGATTTTGAGGAAGTGCCCGATGTTTCGTACGACCCAAGAAGCGAACTTTCATCTTTCCCCCCAGGAGATGAACACACAACGTCTGGTGGGAATTTTTCCTTCCTTCTTTCCTCTGAAAGGGCCTCAAACGAACAGGAAAGAACTGTTCCAGAGTTGATAATCGCTGTTTACGTCGTGCACTTTGATACAAGACGAGGTAACACTCTCGAGTTTGTTGTTTTCTTTCAGTATTCATAACTTTTCTATTTGTGGGATCTCCAAAATGATAAGGCAGACGTTGAACATAACACTGTAACCTGTAATTGCATATTATCTTTAATGTTGGTTGGTGGGGAAAACACACATCTATTTATTTTCCAGTCAATTCACATTTCACTTTCTTTTTTCAATTTTCACCCTTCCTGTTGAATTATCAAGGAAGCATCTCAACTACATTTATACGTGATCTGGTTTAAGCCCCTTGACACAGTATATATTATTTTCACATTTTTTTTTTATTTTAAACCTGGGGTAAATTCCAAGCAGTTACTTTTTTGATGAGTTCACATTTCTTTTCCCCTTTCCATGACCAAGAGTAATATCCAATCAAAAGGTTTTTACACTTTATTTTGCTTAAGAGCTTTAGGTGTAAAGTGGTTGCCATTTCAATTTGGTTTTCACTTCTTTTAGCACGGGTATACTTCGACATGTAAGTAATTAAGAATGACACGAGAGCTCTGGCCCAGTTCTTCAGGGGCAGGTAACGCTATCGAATGGAGAAATCGCTCTACAGCAGATAAGAATTACTAAACAGTACTGCTCTATACACCAGGTAGCAATTTATCCAGTGAATAGGTAGTATTATCCACCCTTGGAACAACTGAGGCTAGTTCTTTTCTCCTCTGCTATTGAGTTTTTCACTATTTCTCCATTAAATTTTTGAAATGATATTTGAGAGCATTTTATTCCAAAGCCTTGTTCTTTCTAACAGCCTTCATCTCTGTTCTTATTTCATGGTTCAAAACACTTGTAATTTCATTTTATACTGCAAAAAAAGCTGGCCAAAACATAGCGTGAACCTCTAAGACTTTGAAAAATGTTTACATTTAATTTCCTACCTTCATCAAAAAAATTGGAATTCTCAACAGTTAGAACCATAGGTGCCCCCCTTTCCTTGTGGTGCATGGTTGTATTTGAAATTTTAATCCACAATTAAAAGTATGTTGAGTTTGTTACTGGAGTCAGATAAAACATACATATTTTACTCAGGAAATGAAATTGAATGGAAGCATCCTAGATCAGTGGATTTAACTGGTGTGGAATTTAAAGCTTTGGCCAGTGGCTCACATACAATCACAAAAGACTTCATGTAAGTACAAGAGAGAAAGATCCATAGTATTCTCTGTATGTTCCAACATCATGTGCCTCCTTCCCTTGCTTTCATCTGAAGAGAAATACTGGTAAGCATACGACACAACTTGCAATATTTCTTGCTTCATTGCGTAAAAGATGAAAATGTGCTTGTAAGTCATTCAGTTGGACAAGTGTTCAGGCAGTCCGTCTGGGTCAGTGAGTAGTTTCGAATTAGAGTTATCAGAGTTTGATCAGTAGGTGGTGTTCAGAATGGGTTTACTTAGCCAAACAATTTTTGCTGAAAAAGAAACTGCGAACTAGTTAAACTTTAACAAGACAGGGGGCTTGGCTTATAGCTGAGTATTTCTACAAAAAAAAAATCCTATGGGAGAATAACCATAAATCAAATGTATATTCTGCTACAAGCCACACTATCATCAACAAACACAAATTACTAGTCTTCTGCAAAATTCTTTTTGGTCAATTACTTTTATTTAGGTAGTGGGTCCTAAAAGGGCCGTTTTGTTTAATTATAACTTCAAGAATGAAGTGTTTAGTTGTCTTCTTTTTTGCTGTTGGTCTCAAGGCCATCTCATCGGTGGCTTAAGTTCAGGCATTTCATCCGTGTAGATGCTTTCATCTTCTGTACCGTTGAGTGTGTTCCATATCCTGCATGTTTTAAATGATTTCTCCACCACCTCCTCTGGAAGTTCTGCCCAAGTCCATTTCACTGTGGATCGCTGAGTATTCTTTGGCGATCTCAGAGTTTTTCTCAACGGCCTCTGCCTCAGCAAAAACTTTTAATTTAAAGGCTAAGTTGTACAAAGAATAATGAGCTTTTGGCGTGATGATAGATTACCTTTGAAATCTAAATGGGATTTAACCAATACCTCTATTCATAAACTCCTTTACAGCTGGGTGCAAGTGTTTCGCAGGAGAGAGACAATTCTAACTTTTGTTTGATTACAATCTACGGTTATGTTTATTTGTCTCACTTAACAAGGGTGGTGAACTGCTTTACAACATTTCAACAAAAGTTTTGGTCTCACCTTATAGCGGAGTGTTTTTGGTTTATTTTTCATTCGAATCCAATGGCTTTTAAACTTTTAGGGTCTCGGCTTATGGCCATGATTGGCTTATAGGCAAATAAATACGGTAGGTCAAATAGTTTGTTAATCTAAGGGAATCCTCCAATCTCTTCAAAACAATAATCTTGTGAAGACACTTAAGTCTCAAAAATCAAAATATAGAATTACCCGTGGATGTTTAATTGATCTTCTTTTTAATATTTTAGTCTTGACTTTAACTTACTGTTTCTATGCAGGAACACTAACATAGAGATTCTGCTGTTGAACGTGACTCAATAGAGAATCTCTTGGTTTGGACTCATCAAAATATCATTTTATCAGCTAGTCCTTATACTTAGGTCCACATGCCAACATTTTTTTTTAACTTTTTAAGGCAAACTATCTTTTTCCTCTACCAGATACTTCAAAACCAAAGATGGTCTTTATGGGTTGAGTTGTTTTGAGCGTATGGCTGTTGATAATGTGGCCGAGAGAGGAGCTAGAATGAAATCAGTAGGGATTCTTTGTTCCAAGTACACATCTCTTCATGAACACATGTCATTCCTTGAAGAGGAAGTAAGGTAACCTTGTTTTTTTTTTTTTGTCTCTTTTTCAACTCTTTCATTCCCACGAGTGACCAGGACAGAATTTCTCCTTACAATATCAATACAAAATCAAGCGAGCAATTGATGAGAATAAAGGGATTATTAGTCAATCCAATTCAAATTCTTCAAACTTACATCATAAGAATTATATTCTATAAATAGGGTGTTCCTCAAGTTACAGTCCTGGGGCTGGTTTTATTTTCTATTTTTATTAATGATATCAAAGCTGTTAACACTAATAAGAAAATCTTCTTGTTAAATTTGCTGATGATATAACTATTAGTTTATACCAATCGAGGCAAATGTAGGCTTAGATGAATCCGAAATGGAAGTCCTATCCTTTATTGAATGGTCTGAGAAGAACTGCATGAAAGTCAACTTGACGAAAACATGAGAACTTCTTTTATGAGGAAGACTTCCAAGATGCCTCCTGAACCACTCAAGATCATAGGGAGGAGAGAATAACTGAAACTATTGGGTGTTACCTTTGAGCAAGTGCCAGTTAATTGGGACACTCATATTTGATTATTTACTTAGTAAGGCTAGCAGTAGGTTGTATATTTTAAGAATATGTAAATATTATGGCTACTCTATTGAGAATTTGGACTTACTTTTTAAAAGTTTGATTCTTTCAGTTTTTACCTAATTATGCTATTGAGGTCTGGGGGTGCGCTTTTTATAGTTACTGTAGATATTTAAGTAGAATTGATAAGCTCTTTTCCAGGTGTTATAAGCTGGGTTACTGCTTAAAGCAGCACAGTATCTTAGATATCCATCGTAATAGAGATAAGAAATTATGGCAAAGGATCTCTTCCATCAACACTGTGTTTAGCGATCTCTTACCACCCCAGAGAACACGGCAGTTGAGAAGGAGGTCGCATAATTACATTTTACCTAAGGTTCAGACAAGCTGTTTTAAATCAGTTTTATATTAATAGATGTCTTTTCAATAGTAATTAATACCTTTTCCTTTTCTTTACTCATTCTATTCATGTTAATTGTTGCATGTCTGTTTGCACAATAATTCTTAATAAAGACCTTTATTATTATTATTATTATTATATGGGATAGTCAGTATGGAGAATTACTGATGAGATCTTGGGAATTAGTGTGTTAACAAAACTGCAAGTGGGTTTAGAGATAGGAGATGGGATTAAATGCATTTGCAAAATTGAAAACCTTGCGACGTGCTTGTTTCTAGTTATCATTTATTTTATCTAAAGCTGCATTTTTATGTACTGTAGATTGTTTCTATGTTTAAATTAATGAAATATCTTTCATTATAAATTTATTAGATTTTTCTTTTTAAGAGATATTGTAAAATGTTGTGCTTCAAATTTTATCCTTTTTTAATCCTTATCCTTTTTATCCTTTTTTAATCCTTATCCTTTTTAATCCTATCCTTATTTAATTTTGATTTTCCTTTGTTTCAGCTTGTTGTTGAAGATTGTTAGTTAATGGGAAATCAAAATTTAACTGGTTTAAAGAAGGAATACCTTAAATTTTTAATTTTTACACCACTGTAATTTTCATTTTAAATGTATCAAAGCACTTTTCATGGTATTCATTAAATGTAATATTTTCCAGGAGGCAGCTTGAAAACCCTGGACATTATGAGGATCTTGAAAATTATTACAATAGGTATAAGAACTGTGTGCTTAGAAATAATTACTTTCCATCTCCAACTCTTGAGAGGGTTCCTGGACTGGAGGAGATACCAGTGTTACAGGTATTCCTAAAACAATTTTTCCAAATTTTAATTTTGTGAAGGAGTTGTGTCACTATATTTTGATATAATGAACTTAGCAAATTACCCCTGGAATGGCTTAAAACCTTGAAATAATTCCTCATCTGAGAAAACAAAGACCAAGGTGGATATCAAGATTCTAAAATTTTTCCATGAAAAAAATCAAGATCATGCAATATATATATCTTATTAACCAAGCGCGAGGGTCGTACTGGGAGAATATCGGCCTGAGGTCCGTACAAAAAAAAACGAGGGCCGATATTCTTCAAGTATGGTCCCAAGCAAGCTTGGTTGATAAGAGATTAATTATACGACTGAAGTTCAAAGGGACACAAGTGCGGTATCATTCGGGACCATGTGGGACAGTGCCCGGCCCAATACTGAGAGAATATTGACCGGCAATAGAGCATTTTGATTGGTTGACTTTAGTTATTGGCCCTCTGACTGCCCGAGTCGTGTAATAATTTATTTTCTTGCTGAACACATGACAAAGAAGAATTTACTTTCATCGAGCAAACTGTCAGAGAGAATATTTGCTTGAAAATTTGAAGGAAAAAACTTTCTTCAAACTAATTTCTTGTGGAAATTTTTGAGGCATTAAATTGTCTTCTAAAGAGTTTTAGGTCAGCTGAAACAATTGGCATCTTGGAAGTTTGCCAGATTTTCTTTAAATTGTTGAGGTGAACTAAATTTCATCCTTTTATGATGAAAAGCCCAGAAGTTCAGCAATTTTGCTAAATTTTGAGCTTAATAATTTTGCACAGTACCATATGCAGTAACTTATATTGCAACATACCCAACTACATCATCTTCAACATCAACTTTAGATTGTTGTCTGAATTTAATGAATCCTTTTATGCTTTGTTTTTGTCAACAGATCACACATCCAGCTGGGTGTTTCCCTCAGTTTATCAAGTTCTTTGGGGAGCAAATTTTTGTTCTCTGGAAATTTGTTTTACTGCAGAAACGTATTTTATTCTTTTCACCTCCTCCTGTTGGGGTGGCTTGCTACAGAGGTAATAATAATAATAATAATAATAATAGTAATAATAATAATAATAATAATAATAAATAGATGCTTATAGGGCGCATTTCTAATCTCAATGTGCCTAACAAAAAGAGTGTATCCTATTCAACATATGAATTAGTAGAAAGTAATCCCCTCCACTTCCTCAGGGATTATTCAGAAATAAATTATTCCCTTTGGCTGTGGTAAATTACAGTTAAATACAATTGTATATAATGATCTTAAACCAGCTGGAAGCCTTGATCCAAGATATCAAGGCTATAAGATTCTCAGTAGGGTGATGGACTGATAAAGGTGACCAACTGGAGTTGAGGATGGCAAGAGGACGGAGAGATTCATTGTTAGACCACACTGTTTCTTGCAGGAAAAATGCTTTCCACTCTTGAGATGATTCAATGTCATACTGGAATCTCTCAATCACATCAGCACTGCCCTGGTTCATTATATGACAAGAGCCAGTCCATCATCTACCAGAAACTTATTGCTATTGTTACTGGCACTTTGCAATGTGATATTCATAGTAGCTGCTTATATTACAGCATACTTGCAGGGATTTTAAACGGGCCTAACAATTATTACCCATTGTTACATTCAAATCATTTGATAAACAAAATTCTTTACCTGACAGTTTACTGTGCTTGTTTGTTGGCAAGCCATGGGATTCCATTTGGTTTTGAAACTGGAAGCAACCCACTGTTTTTTACAAATGTTTGTGACTTGAGTGCACTGCATGAAGAACACAAATACATTGCATGTAAGTTTCATTTTGTCAGAAATCATAAACCTAATTAATATTTTTTTTTCTCTTCCTAATACACCTGTGTACTCTCATAGAATTTTAATTATCGGTACAAGACTTCGGAATACTATTTCAGTTCTACTTAGTTTTACATCGGGAATGGGATACATCCTATAAAGTAATAGTGGTCTAAATGGAGATGTTATCTAGGTCTTCCATATATTGTGCATACCTGTTTTCAATGAGAACGCTATTGATGCATACACTAATTAAGTAGAACATAAATTTTTGAACAGCACAACTGGTTGGTATAAGCCAGCTTGCTGCTTACAAAGACCAATGGTGAAATTGAACTCAGAATTACTGAGAAATGAATCCTGTTGAGACGCAGAGGTGAAGATTTGAACCTGGGATCTCTTGATTTATAATCAAAGACCCATAACCACTGGGCCGGGTTGTTCAAAGCTGGTTAAGCTAACCCTGGGTTGGTGTGAAATCTGATTTAGATTCTGAAAGCTTTAAAAGAAAAGTTAGTATAATTCTTTTTGTAAACAATTTGATGATTGAATGCTTATTATTATCCCAATAAGGTTTTTGAACAAAGTATTAAAGAAACTCAGACTGAAATTTAACCCTGGGTTAGCACTGATTGGCCTTCGAGCAACTGGGCCCTTCAGGCTGGTTTATACTGCCTTTATTGAACAGTGAATTTTTGCCTGAGTTGGGTAGGTTTTTCAGGGTAGCAGTATTACAAGTTGAGAATAATCTTTAGGAAAGCTATCTTTAGATGTTTGAAAGATTGAACAAGTGAGCCACCACACCACTTATTGCTTGGTTAGGCTAGTTTGATATTGCTAAATTTAGTCACCTTAAAATCAATCTTTTGTTGCTTGTCAGGTACTACAGAAAAGATATTTGAGAGCAAGTTACAAGTGTATGATGTGTATGTTGATAACCAGAATATCAAGTGTAAACCACACTTGAGTTGGATTGCAAACTTTAATAATGCAGACAGAGACAGGTTAGAAGAACTGGACTCCTTCAGGTGAGTGCTGTATGTGACCATGCATAAACAAGCTGATATGTGGTTCAATTGAATCTTGCACTTTGCCTTAAGCGAAATTTTTTGCATGCGCATAATTGGTGTAAACGCGTCACCTGTCCGTATAAAAAATTATGCCATGGCTTAAACTGGGGAAAATCGAATGATACTCCACGAACTGAAAATGCTGTGTTCAAATTTTTGTTTAAAGTTAGTTCAATAAGGGAAAGGGTTATGCAGCTGAACTCGATTAACACACGAACGTGGCTATTCGTGTGGTTGTACGAAGAGCCGAAAGGACGCCGAACGCTCAATATCTCACGCAGTAAAGGTGGAAGCTTACAGTTTTTCTTAAGCTTCACTCTCGGAAAACTGTTTGCTTCTCACATTTAATAACGTCCATAGACAAATATTTAATTATGTTTCTGTACTAAAAGAGAAACATTATTTACTTGGAAATGTTTTCTAGTAATTCTAAGTGACTTGCTTATTTACCCATTCGGACTACTTCTGGTTTCTCTTCTGTTTAACCAGTTTTAGCTCCGTTGTGATGGAATAGCAGTGGCCTTTTTTACTGATTTATTTATTTTTTATGCAAGGCATTAATGGCCAGTCTGTTTTATTTTGAACTTAGAGAAGTTCAAGAGGAACTAAAAGTCTTTTTTTTTTTTCTACTTGTACATGTCAAGGCAACAGCAGCTGTACACGGGAGGTGAAGTAACAGATGATGAAAAAATGTATACCAGGTAAGTAAAATTGTACCTTGTTGTACTAGAAGGTTCTCCCTTGTTTGTATTTTGGTGATTGGTGACAGTGTACTTGATGATCAGAGCCTGAAATCAGCTGAAATGAAAGTTCTGTTAAATGCTTTTGTTTTTGGAAGGAAACCCACAATTAATCGAAAAACGCGACTTGATTTTTCATGAGTGTTTTACGTTTTGCTACAGAGCTATGCGAGTGAAGGGGCCAGCAGGCTTTTTAAGATATGGCCTGCTAACAGATTTAGACCTCTCTCGGCGATTTGACCCCCCCCCCTCTTAAAATACGAGTGTGGAGTATCAATTAACCATACTGCCAGTATACGGATGCAAAATATTCTCGAAAAAAATACAAACTTTTTACCCTAGTTTACTAGAGGTTTAAAAGGCGGATAACACATAAAACACCAGCGGACAACAAAGTTGATTTAATATTTCACAACAGATTATAGTTATGACTGACAGCTTCCTGTCGCGCTTTGCAAGCGAAAATGATTTTTTTAGTAAGTGTGGACGACAGACGTTTGCAATACGAGTTAACGATGGTTCTTCTTGCAAAAAGCTAATTTCGTTGATATTAAACCGTAAAAAGGGCCTGTCCCGATTGTGCTCGTAAAATCCTGGAATGTTAGAAATTGCTAAAAATTTCCCAAAAATTGCCACCTAAAGGTTGCTTCCTAAGTTTCTTGATATTTTTATGTAAACATTCAAGAAATTTGCCTAAGGCGAAGTTTTTTTTTTATGAAATCATTGACTTTATCGTGCTTGATGTGTGGTCTAAACCTAAATGTTGTTCAAAAATTGCTCAGAAGGGCAAAAATTGCTCGAGGTTTCTAGAACTACAAAGATTTGCTCAGTAGTTGCCCAGCACAATCGAGACAGGCCTACTCGTCAGGCCCCATATGCGTCAGCTTTTATGGGTTTCCACCAACAGAATGACTTGAGCGGGGTTGTAAGGGCCATTTGACGAATAGATTAAAGGCTGACCCGTAGATAATTACGATTAACAAACTGAAGCCTTGAAAATACATCAGGCTTTCACGATAATAGAACCCATGCCCTCTCATTATGAAGACGTATGTTGGGTGCCACACCAATTTCAATTTAAATGGATTCTTAGTTCCCTTTAAATAGGAAAAATTAATTCTTCTACTGAATAATTTAACTGCCTGTGTCTTTGCACTTAGGTTCTTTGTGAATTTAAACAATTCACTTTTCCAGACGCTTTTCGAGGTAGCTTCTACTCAAGACAGAGTTTTAACACCAGACATGATCCGAAACATAGGGCTTGATCCAAAGGGAGATCGCCGTTTTCTGTCGGACTTGGTGGATCTGTATGGAATTAATGTCCTGATTCCAGAACCAAAATGCTGCCCGTTTTACACACCTTAATGATGACAGTTCTGTGTGCAGATTTCTTACTCCTCAGGGAGGTCTGGTGAGAAAACTTTCAATAGCTGTGACATCACAACATCGACACCTTGGAAAAAGGTTTTAGAAGACGTTCTTCGTACATACATACGTACATACATACCTACATACTTTATTTGTCATGTAGGTCAGTACGAGAAGGCAGCTAAAAAGCTGATGTGGACCTACAAATTTAAATATATCTACAACAATTTAAATATTAATGTTGACAAACTTAAGAATTATTTACAATGAGTAAAAAAAAAAAAACTATAATACCAGTAAGATAGTCAACAGTCAATTGACTGTAGCGTTAAAATAAATAAATAAAAGAAAATAATAATAAAAATAGCATTAGAATATGTAATTCACAATGTCTTTGTTTATTCCCTGTAAACCATCAAATATTATTTTATCTAAAATGTCAGATTTGGCTTTAAGAGCAGATTTAAAAGAAACAACGTTCGGTTTGCTCTTTAAGTACATGTGTAAGTTATTCCATAAAAGAGACGCTCGATGAGAGAAGGAAGATCGAAGGAAATTACTTCTAGGTCGTTGCACGTATAGTTTCAGACCGTCCCTGAGATTTCTTAACGGAGATGTTTTAGTGAATAGAGAGATTATACCAGCCGGAGCTCTATTGTAAAATGCCTGATAAGTTATAGTTGCAATTCTCTTTTTGTAGATGTATGATAAGGATTTCCATTTTGTCTTTGCCAGGACTTCAGTGTTGAGAGTAGATTCCTTTATGTTAAAAATAAATCTCGCTGCTCTAATGTGAATGTCTTCCAGGGTCTGAAGCGACTTTGAAACAAACATGCTACGATTGCCAGATGGGTGCGTGAAGCAAAATATTCCAATTATATTACAGATATTTGAATCTATTTCTTAAATTATCGTAGTATCATCTACCTTCAAAGCCCCGGTATCTGATCCTTTTACCTGCACATTTTAGGGATGAAAATGTAGAGACTCCGTTCTTGATGTAGTGAGGAGTTGTGAAAAGGTTTAATTGCGCACTACAATTGTTTTTCGCTCAACGAGCAGAATTACAAATTCTGTACGCCCTTACACGACAGTGGTGAATATTGATTTTGGTTGCAAAGGACCTTCCTCTCAAATAAAATTTACAAGGTTCACCTAAAGATAATTTAGCCTAGTCTATAAGGAATAGAAAAAATAAGTATGTCATGTTTTGGTGGAAGATTTTGAAAATTCCTCGCGGAAGAGACCATAGAGTTTAGGAACCCCAAAGAGTGACTGACATGTAATTTCTCCTCACACCATCAGCCTTGAGTCAAATGTAAAGGTCATGAGAATAAAGGAAATGATCATCAACCTTAGAAACTCCTGATTGTTAAACAAATTCTCCTTGTAAGTACCATAGGAAATGTGAAGAGAACAGTATGGAGAATATAAATACCAATGTTAAGGTAGAAACGGTTACAAGCGCGGAGTACTCTTGGCGTTTTGGACGATTGTTTATTTCTTGCCATTATCGCAATATTCACTGTACTTGTATAGAAAGGACGGAGGAAGGATAGATTTTCGGAAAGAATACTTAAGAAGTGATTTAAAAAATTTTTAAAAACATTACTAAATTAATTATTATTCACTACGATCAAGTACAGTTTTCAGAAGGTCTTGGCTACCTGTCGGACTGTATTTCTGTCAAAACTTTCTAAGAATTCAGTTTGTGCTTATTTACAAACGTTTGTAGGATCCCTATGACAAGGTTACAATAAAATTGTTGTCTTTAGTAGAAAGTATTTCATTCTTCATTTTCTTGATATGAAAACTAACCTTATTGACCTAATTGAAGAGATAAAATAATACAGAACTTATATTACTAGTACTTTGAAATAGGAACTTTTAGTTCCAGTTTTAAACATTGCAAGAATACCAATGCGTCCTTCGACAGTAACAGTGAGCTCAGCCAGGAAACGAATGCCTCTTGCAGTTTGCTCAAAGTGACGCACGATTTTGCCTTCCATAGTATATATTAGCACCTGAAGCTCTTCTGTTTGTGGGCGGAAACCAGCGACAACAACGTGTTCACTTGGCCAGTGAAATGCAGTGTAAAATGAAGATTCGAATTCTAGCATATCAGTTAACTTAAAAATATGTTCACCATGTTCATTAAAAACGTGAACGCAGGAATCGCCATTATCTGTCACCAGTGTTCGACCTTCACTTGCAGCGGCGATATTAACTGGACTCTTCAATATTCCGTCGCCAAAGTTGTTAACAAATCGACCATCGGACTGATAAACTTGAATGGTTGGTTTCCTCTGGGAGTAATTCGGTTGTGTTATAAGAAGTATCAACACTTTACCTTTGTCATTGACTGTGAGTGATGGTCTGAACGCAACGGTGCTAAATTCCTCCTTCAGTGAAAACTTGTGTAGCGGTTGAAAATCCCAATCAAACACATGCACTGCCCCGGTATTGTTATCTTTGAAGATTAATGATTTGACTTGAGGCTTTAGTTCGACAAGGGCGTAGATCTTGCCATTCGAATCAGTAGCTACTTGACAAAGACAGTAGACATCGTCACGAGAGGTTTCCGACACGACAGGGAAGCAGTTCAAAAACTCGCCTCTGCTGTCAAAAAACTTAATCATTTTATCTCCGTTACCGTTGGCTACAACGAACTGCCCAAGGCTGTTTGAAGCGATGCTTACTGGCCACACTAGACTTCCATCTTCTCCCCGCAGTAATTCCAAAGTACCGAAGCAGTGCTCCATGCCTCTTTTCCTCAAAACTTTTAACACTCTGTCATTTTGCAGTGGAGAAACTTTAATTTCTCTAATTTCAACGCATGGCCAGTTTGACAGCTCCTTATTACCAAAGTCGACCATGAGCGCGACATTGAATATCACGCGATTTGTATGACACACAGTGGAGATCAGGTCACTCCGTACGTCTTTTCTAAACGCAGCCTTGAACCCTTTCTCGAGTTCAACTTTAAAGCATTTTTGAACAGCTGGCAGGCTATTCAACTCTTCAAGGCATACTCTACAAGCTGCTATCGAGTATACCGGATTGTCTAGAGTTTCTAATATTGTTGCCATAACACGATACTGCATGGCCAGAAGACGATCAAAGGTTGATAAAGCTGTGTTGGCGAAAGCTTCCGTTGCTTTCCTTCGTGCGTCTCTGAATCTGTCTTTCGCCCTAGATAGTACCCCGGAAGCTGATGCATTGAGGTTAGCAACCTCAAGCTTGTTCATTCCTTTTGTAAGAGAAAATGTTTCAGCAGCACAAGCCAACGCTGTAGCAGCTTGTGTTGTTGTTACAGCGTTGTTGTTTTCGCTTTTGGGCCTGGCCTCGTCAAATACCTCATACAACAACTTGATTCCTTCATTAAAGAAGCTGATGCTTGCCAACAAATCCTTTCTTGCTAATCCATCCAGCTTTGATTTGATATCTTTGATCTCGCGAACAATGAAATCACGAAAACTTTGATCAGTCATGTCGCCTTCTTTCAACGAATCTGCTATCTTGTCTCTAAATCTATTTCCCAGTAAACCGATTGTAAGTTTAAACACGGCTATTACGATTGACGACATCTTGTTATAGTAGAAAAAAGGTTGCAAATACTTGCTCAGCGAAAAATTTTCTGTCTAACTCTTAGCAGCCTTGTTTTGCTTACTAAGTACATCTTTAGACAAAAGTCAAAAAGGTCAGTTTCAGTTTCAATTTCGCAATGCGAGGGAATTGTTTTTCAGTTATAAAAAAACACATTGTCTGCGGCAGATCAACCGGTCACGTATCAAACTTTGCCTATTGTTTTGGTTAGGATTTTTTAAGACAATGAAGCTTTTGTTATCTGTCTTTTGGGATTTTTCTGTTCGGTGACAGGAACTTAGACTCGGGTTAACTTCGCTCTAGTTCGCAAACTTTTAATGATGACATTTTGGTTCCCCACGGGAGCCTACTAGGGAAAACACACAGATTAGAAGGGGGTGAGTAAGTAATGTCAGTACCTCGACATGACGCGCTGTCGGAAGGACGCGACATGATTCACGAAGGTTGATTCACACTACGGGATTCAAGTTGCAATCATGGTGTAAGCTTGTCGCATGCGATAGAGTCCTCACGTGTAATGCTCCTCTCCAGTACACAGTAAATAAATAAATATAAAAGTTTGCGACGTATTTTATCAGTAAAAGTGATTTATTCCAGTCATGTTATTGCGAGTAAGCGTTCTCGGAAAGCTGAGAGCGATTAAACTTGTTTTGTTTTAAACTTGTTTTTGTTGGAGGGTGCCTGTACCAAATCAATTTTAGAATGAAAATATAGACAGTATGTACAGTGTAGTTTAATTTATACAATAAGGAAGGGTATCAATCGATAATTGTAATTAATCGATAAATTGTTTTCAATCCCTGCCAATCTTGTTATTGTTCATTTGCGTTCTTTCTTTATTATCTTTGTCTAATATGAAAAGCCATCCACAGGTCAGATACTCTTCTCAGCGGAAAATTGTCCGAATAACTCCATGCAGCTTTGCGAGAGATTTTAAAAGTAACGAGTCCTACCTAAAAATATACTAAACCAAAAAGCAGACCGGCCCAGTTCACTGATTTATGGAATTCGCTGGAATTCGATGGTTTAGTTTCGCTTTTGAAAACTAATAGAATTCGTAGGAGCTTATTTTTTTTTAAATAAATCTATTTAAGCATCTTCTTACGTTTACTTACAAAATAGAAATTAAGAAAGAAATAGAAAGATGTTTTTTTGTTAAAGGTGGTCTGCCGTGCATGGGGATTTATCTCTTTTGCGGACCATCCTTATGGCACCTTTCTTTTTACTCTTTTGTATTATTATCTATTAATGTAAGTAAGTAAGTAAGTAAGTAAGTTATATGTGTCATTAAATTGTAATAAATAAAAAATAAATAAATAAATAAATAATAACAAAAAAAGAAAAGCAAAACACACACACACACTTATATTGTACAAATAGAAGAATACCAAGCTAAACACGTAGGAGCTTATGCAAATCCATCGGCTTTTATCAGATCGTGCAGGGCAAAAATCGTCGAATTGTTTTCAATCTTTGCTAATTCTGTTTTTGCCTAGTAGCTTTGTTAAGTTTTTTTTTTTTCAAGACAATTATGCCAGTAAAGCGCATGTCAAAACAAAGAAGTAGACCTCGCAGTTTACAGTGTATTAAAACTAATTAATGAATTCAAATTACTAATCCAATTTCACTTTCATAGACTGAAAGAACGGCGGAAATTTTTTTCAAGCATAAATACATTGGCCGTCGACAACTTGCGCGGCTACGGTGCAGAAATTAATGCGGAATCAATCATTTTAATCTTTGTTAATTGATTCTGTTTATAGTCAGTGGCATTCTTACTTTCTTTAGAATCAGAAGGCTAAAGTCATGCATTCACAGCCTACTTTGCCTACGAGCAACTGGGACCATTCATGCTTAACCTATCATCTTCAGTTGCCTGGGGCCCAATGAATCAAGTCATTTGCTTCCAATGTTGACGTGTTTTTGTTTTTTTTTTTCAGCGTTGAATCGGTACTTGTGCAAATCCTTAATGCAACTTTCTCTTGATATTTAAATTTGGACCTATGACACCATACCGAAAAATACATTTTTGATCAGAGCTCAAGAACGACCGAGGCTGAATTGGCCGGAGCTCTCATTATGACTAACCATGGTGGAGAATAACGAGCACGGAATATTACTTCAGTTATTTTGCTCGCAATATAGCTTTTTTCGGTTATAAAAAATAAAAAAATAAAAAAAACAGCACCAAAGTTTGTACAGTGCAAACTTGATTGAAAAGCCGGATAACGAGGGTCGATAGTCAGCTGTGTAGTGATCTATGATGTGACTGAAATAAATTCCAAGATAATCTTAATGTCTCCATAACTAGATGATCTTTTCCGTTATCCCAGTCCCCCGCAGCCTGTCTTGACATATAAGGAGATCTCTTAGTCATTGATAATTCACCCAAAACTGGCCGTAAGGCGTTTTTCATTTTGGCATATGAAATAGAGCGACAGCTGAGTGAAGACACCATTAGATTACAAAATCAAAGGAAGGGTTCTTTTAACAAACGAAGCCGTCTTATAGTTTTACTTATTCCTTCTCCGTTTGTGTTGTCTAGTCACCAGTAAAACCACCAGAACTCGTTGTCACAGCAACCGTAACACACTAGAAGTATTTTGGTGGAAAGAGCACAGGTTGATGTCATAGATAATTTATGGACACATCGACAAAACCCTTATAATAACTTCCGTTCGATATATACTTCAGTAAGAAATTACTTTTTCAGAAAAAGTCCCAGTTGAAAGGTTTTTTAAGTGTGTTTGTAAGATGACAGGAGCTTGAGCGAGCTTTTCTTCACGAAAAGTACGCCTCCAATCGATGATATCTTTAAACAAGTTCGAGAACACGATACATGGTCAAATCACCGTGATTTATGGCTTTTATAGATCCTGTCTTAATTCTTGGCCTGTTTGTGTTGAGATTCACGTTTTGCTCAGGCAGAGTTTGTGAGGCGGATAGAAATACAAATGGCTGCAGTACACCCATGGGAATCAACGCACCGTTTAAACGAGAGTTCACTCCGGCTTGTGACAAACACGACATATGCTATGGATGTGTAAGTGTTATATCGCGTAAGTTTGTTTCGCTTGGGTGCATAAGAAAGAACGTGTTCGTTAAATTGCGTTACGTGATTTTTGCGAAAATGCAACTCTTCGCCAAAAATGTTAGGGAAAAAAAAACGATCTATAATATTCCTCGTACACAATTATCATGTTTACTAATTTGCTTCGAGAAAATTGGTTATTTATGTCACAATAACAAATTTCGTCTCCTTACAATTCCTTTATCGAATATTGATAAAGTTGCCATATTTTTCTCGCAAAGGAAAGACGAATATGCTCGAAAGCCATACTATCATAAGCTCAAAGTTAAAAGGACGTACAAGGGTCTAGACTCTAAAAAAAAGAAACATTTTTGGTCTTTGTCAAAATTCGCACAACGTTCTTTGTCAACATTTTATAGTTACGCGACTTTGGGGATCAAATCTCCCCGGAAAAAAAAATCATGGAGTAAAGTTCTCTGTGGACTGAGGCAAGCTTTCATGAAATCATTCACTATCTATTTGTTGGCACAAAACCCATTCAAACCTATTTTCCATTAAATTTCGATTTCGAGGATCGCGAGGCAGTGAAAATGACAGTTTTTAAGGTGTACATTCGATCTCGAGAAGTGAGAGTTATTCGCATAAACCTTTTAATACCTGTCAAACAATATGTTCCACAGGGTAACCACTATAACTGGACACGTGAGGCCTGCGACAAGGCGTTACTTCACGACATGATACAGTCCTGTCATAGGCGTATGCACAGCAGAACCAGGCGTGGCGTCATGAATGCCCTATTGGACATCTGGTATTTCTTTCAAGGAATCAGCAAAGAAGAGAGAAGATGCAAGCTGGCTGCGGAAATGTATTACAAAATTGTACGCACTTTTGGTGCCTCGCACTTAGAGAAAAAAGATCATATCTATTGCATTAACACTTGTGCGGATAAACATGGAAGTCCTTTTGTAGAGCTATAGCAGTCACATACTTGCCTGTGTTGCAGGTCATCAGTCTACCAAAGAGACCAATCGCTGGATAGAAGTGAAGACTCGATTCGTGGGGATAAGATATTTTAAGGGTTACATCATCACTATCATCAATTCGGATTCAGGTTCAGATTAATGATTGCAAATCAGTTACATCGACGCTACACTTTCTCAAGGTGGACCTTGAAAACACCACGAGCACTTTTGGTACACTCCGAACGAAGATGGAAATCGAGGAAGGTCTACTAGCTTCTCGTATCTCGTTTCGTTAGAAACATGACAGACTTCAAATTGCAGAATTATGTTTGTGACTTGTAGGGCTGGAGAAGACTTAATGCCGAGCGGAGATCATGATCCTAAGGGTTATTTACGCACTCAGCGCGCATCTCTGCTCGCGTAAGGACCTAAGGAGCTGAACACAAATACAAGCCAAGTTTATTAAAAGCATATAAGTAGCATAGAAGCAGTAAAGCAGCAGAGCGTAACCTACGATCAAACGTTCTTTTTTCGGGTGAACGTGCGAAAGAGTAACAACACAAGCAGACTAGAGTACGTCATTCTCGCATTTCCCTCCTCACTAAACATAGAACACTTGATCAGATATTTTACATAAAAGAGAGAACCAAATTTCCCATGATGACCAGTTAGCGTGGAATGATAATTAATTTTTCGCCCAGCCCTGCCCGAAACCAATGGCGACCTTAAAAAAATATCAGCGTGAAAAGGCGAAAATTAATTCTAAAACGGAACTTTTATGCGAAACCTGACAACCTGCTTTTGTTTACTGAAATAAAGGAACTATTTGCCATTCTATTTATGCGAACTTTTATGCGAAACCTGACAACCTGCTTTTGTTTACTGAAATAAAGGAACTATTTGCCATTCTATTGTATAAATTAAACTACACTGTACATACTGTCTATATTTTCATTCTAAAATTGATTTGGTACAGGCACCCTCCACGTATCACAAAATAATCAAAACGTAATGGTGAGTATTCTTACATCTATGCTGGACCATGCTTGATCGATAGTATATTCGATTTCGTACTCAAGTATTGCATCATATAAAACCATCCATCTCCCCTATATTTTTAAGTATACAAAGTGTAGTGACGGGCGGATAGACCTTCTCGTCTCGACTATGACAAGGACATTTTCCATGCAGCCTGGGAAATTTTTCAAGTTTTCATTATCAATCGAAAACAAACTCGTGCCAAATACTCATTCTTATCCTAAAAGAAACATGTCGGGTTTCTTTTTGTTTTGGTGGAGAATCAAGACCTCTTCTATGGTATTAAAACTAGTATGGTTAAAGCTTGAATAAAATTTATTCTGAACTTAGGGTTTTGGCGAGAAAAGTATCGGAAAAACGTCTTCCGATGTGTTGTTTTTGTATCTTGCTCTCCAGGGAAATCGTCTCTTGTAGAGTATCTAATAAAGAAAACAAATGTCAAAATAAGGTCATAAAAATGTAAGCGTGTTTACCATCAACATCAGGTACTATAATACTCGAAAATGGGGAAAATTTGCATTAGGGAAATTGAATTTTAACATTTTCCATTGAATAAATTCCGGTTACTACTGGGCATTTATAGATTATGCTAGCATAATTTTTGGCATAATTCGAGCAAACTGGCATAATTTCTGCCAGGTAGCAATGCTAGAATAATTTGCGCATTTTGATAATTATCAGATCATTTTTGATGCCATTATTTGATAATCTTTTGTCTCTAGTCCCAAGCACTTGGTGACCTTAATCGATATTTAAAGTCTTAGTTAAACTAGTAGCATTTGTAGTTCACTGTGAAGCACCGAGCCCGGGTCTAACCTGAACCACATGTTTATTTGAAATTCATTGTGGATTTGTTGCGTTTCTTTCCTGTAGACGAACGGCTTCTAGTTAAAAAATATATATTTTGGACTTATTTGCATTTTTTCAAAGAGCATAATTTAAAAAAACGGTGGCATAATTTGGAAAAAAGAGCATAATGTTAGCATAATTTGGCCAAAAAAAAAAGCAATGCTACTAGCATAATATGCCACTTTTACTAGCATAAGCTATAAATGCCTAGTTACTACCTTATTGGTTTCTTTGCCGTTTCCGGGGAAACTGGGTACAAAATTTCCCATATGCCTTTTGGGTACTACCAACTCAAAGATGGCGGATCAAAGTTGCCCTAGTGAATGTAAACAAAAAATTTAGAGAGGGTATGTAAGGTCGGTTAAAAAAAAATGCCTGGTGAAGAAGACTCTGATAGTGACGTACAACAAGGAGCGACATGGGAGCATCAGTCCTTGGCACAGGTATAATCTGAACAAATGCTGTTGATGACAAATCATGGTTTTTGGTTGTCTCGATATGAATGACAACATGCAAAGATAATTTTTTTATAAACAAATTGACATATGTATCATCATCATTGCAGCGGAATGTGTAAAAAGATTAAAAAAAGACTCACTTGCAAAATTTTGGTGAAAACCTAGTCACCCCTATTCAGTGACAGGAGAAACAGGAATCCCAGATTTATATTATTGTGTTATAAGAGCCAGTGAAAGCGTTATGCAGCTTGTCATACTTATTGACAATTTTCAGTATTTTCATGGAAAATATGGTAAAAAAAATAACGCAGTCGTGAGATTTTTTTCTCTTAAGACCTCTCTGGCATGCAATGGGTATGCAAATGTTGAGCCAGAACTGTTTAAGGCCCCAATCATGAGATGAAATGGAACAAATTTTGCAAATGAGATAACCTTAGTCACCAAAAATATGAGTTCCTTTTCCATCCTTCAAATTTCTTTATAGGTAAAGATAAAAGTTTTGAGAGGACATAAAGATGCAGTAAACAGCTGTTCATTTGCCTTTGAGGACTCCAAAATAGTTACTGCATCACATGACAAGACTCTGAGGCTTTGGGTAGGTTTTTTATTCCCTTACTTCTGATTCATTTTATTTTCCAAGTTATGTTGGGAACACTTGGTGAAACATGTATTGCCCATTTTTTGTTGTTTCATATAGAATTTCCAGCTTCTTTATATATATATATATATATATATATCCAATGCTTTAGATAGTTGAAGAAGGCTGTTAAAGATTATACTTCCTTTTAAATATGGTGATGTAAAAAAATTTTCTTCATCTTGAAAAAGTACTCTTATTTGACATCCAAGTTATATTGCCCTTTTACAATGTGACAGTAGTGTAATACTATCATCCACCATGTTGGAATAAGATTGTCTGGTCATCACAGCTTGGTTTTTCCCCAACTTGTCTAATTACCTGATGCCTTAAATTTCTGTACTATACTTACGTTGGACAATTCCCTCAAAGTTCTACATGCATTTTGTGATTATTTTTTAACTTCATGTAGATTCAAGCTATATCTGCTAACTTCACAATCTACTTCTTAGAATGCATTGATTTAGTTTACTTTAGTTTCTTTGTTCTTAGTCTTTGTTCTTTTGATTCAATATAAAAAAAAAA